CTGGAGTTGTGGCTCAGTGGTAGAGCACTTGCCTAGCATGTGTGAGGCACTGGTTTTGATTCTCAGTACCGCATATAAATAAATGAATAGTTACATCAACATCTAAAAAGATATTTTTAAAAATCATTATATACAAATATATAATAACCACAATGACAAGATCTGGTCCTCAGAGCACCAGGTCACAGGATGGAGGCAGGTGTCAAAGATAAAATGTGACTGAGTAACCTGCACACTGTGTGTTCATTCTTACCACTACACTTGGGAATTCTGCTCTTATAAAAAGTTTATTTCTGAGACTGAAGATGTGGCTCAGTGGTAGAGTGCTTGCCTTGTATATAGAAGGCCCTGGGATCTAGCCCCAGCACCACCAAACAAAACAAAACAACTGTATTTCCCTTGTGTGGGTAGGCAGAGTAAAAGAGCTAAGAAACTAATGACAAATACATAAATAGAGTAAGGGAAATCATCAATGGAAATGTGATTTAACATAAACAAGTTTGTACATGAGTTACAAAATAAAAGCAACAATCACAAGTTACATAGTCAAAGGCAACTTTTTCAAAACCAATGTTCCCTTCAAACATGAAATTTCATAAAAGCAGAAAGGAGTCAAGGTCAGAATGATGATTTAAATAGACAATCAAGAAAGGCTCAATAAATCCAAATGTCACACTGCAGTTCCTTGATGAGGTGACTTTCTACTTGGGGAAAGAAGGGCAGACTTGTATATTTCTTTTCATTTAGCCAATATGATATAAAAAAAGTCAAGATTCTGTCTCTAAAAAGCAAATCTGCAGTGCCCTTACTTTTGTTCAACATCTGCATCTTTGTCCAGAACTCCACCTGCTTAACTTTCAACAGAAAAGTTTTTTTGGTGCAATTAACATTGTCTAAGGCAAGCTCAGCCCTGTCTTCCATAGCCTTGGGCTGCTGAGTAAATCTAGAATCATGGGACATACACTTTGATACTGAAAAACAACAAGAAGAAGGTGGTTTAGTGACAAGGAAAACAGCCAAGAAGCACATCTAGAATTAAGAAAAAGAGACTCTGGTAGGTATGCTGCCTTGTTATTTTTTAACTTCTTTATATAGAATCTATTGAACTGTTGTGTACCGTTCAGAGAAGGTCATGGGAGCATAAAAATCAATTCTTCATAATAATGATAGCTATAATTTTTAAGACCATACTAGATGTGATAAATTCAAGGCTAAAACCTTTGCAAATATTTCTAATTCTCAACCATAATTAGTATTTTTATTTTATAGAAGAAGTTGATTTGTAGAATTTGGAAATTATCCAAAAGCTAGCAGTACTAGAACTCAAACCCAATTCTGCCTGACTAAATTCCATGCTCTGAAAGCAATTTGTTAAGCACTTCTACCCTTAAAAAAAAAAAAAAAAAATCTAATTACAGATTTTAGACAGAAAGAATCTTAATCACAAGAAAAAGATTTGGCCAAACTTTATAAAGCATCCAAACTAGTCTAAAATATGCTTCAGAATTCCCAACTCTCAAGTAGATACTTTCAGCACTGCTGCCTATGCTTCCTCCTTCACTATAATTCCTGCTAGAAGATTCATTTTACAAGTGACAAGGGTATTGTCCTAAACAACTCATTCAATCTTGTACCTAATGTCATTTAACACTGTATTTGGGTAGTCAGATTGAAAAGGTTAACCTGCTATACCTTAACCATAAAAGCAATTACAACAAAATGTTTGGCTGATCCAAGGTTCCAATTCAGCTCAGTCCTTCACTGTAAAACCAGTGCAGATTTCACACCCCTTTATTGCTGTTCTGATAAAACAATTAAAAATAATTCACAATTTTAAAAAATTGCTGTTTGTATTGTGCCTAGGAAAATAGAACCACAATCCCTTTTTACATGACCCACATCTCTGAATTTTCCAATATTTACCTTTTTTCCCCCCTGTGCTAATTTGGCATTGAGAGAAAGGTATGATGGATAGCCAATGTTCGGGTAATATTTTACATCTAGGCATGCTTACTCTTTGGTATTCTGAGGCCTCCCCACAACTATGTATGAGAGAAGCTGACAGCTGAGATAGAAAGCCACAATGATCGCTTTCCCCAAAGTGAGCATTTCTTACTAACGCTTTCTCATCACAATGAAGGAACCGATACAACCACCATTCTCTTCATACACAATCTAATAATACTGACCCAACTACCGAGTAAGGATACAAACCTCTTAAGATAAAAGAGGGATGAATCTCTCCATTACCCTTCTACAATTAAAGAAAATGCAAGAGTATTACAGTTGCTGAGAAGGAAAGGCACAGCATGAGTACTGCTCTGGGGAAGCGGTTGGCCACAGAAAGGGAGAAAGTCATCATCTGTACAGAAGCCAGACAACTCAGAGGACTTCAATGAGAGCTAACTACTGCTTACTCGTTCTCCAAAGAGAAAAGATTTTTCCACCTTTATTGGTGGGTGGGCTTCCGAAAACGGCAAGGTTTTTCTATACTACCAAGATCTCCTCCTCCGATAGTCCGAAAAATAATAAGTGGGAGTGTTGGGGCGCGGGGGGCGTAGTGTAAGGTGCCTCTCTTCCCGGTGCTTATTCCAAGTAGTAGTGGAGAGCGCTACCTCCATGTTACCCCTAGCGAAGTACAGCCGTGCCACCTGGAGTCTCCGCTTCTCAGCCACGGGGGCCAGGTGGGGGTAGCTCCAAGAAGGTAGGCTTAAGCGGGAAGGGGTCTCACTGCCCCCACAATAAGAGAAGTGAGAGCGTGGAGGGTGGTGCAGCTTTGCCGAGAGAATCTGCGGTTCCCCCTCGCTCCCCTCCCTCCCTCCCTCCCTCCCTCTCCGAGCTAGGCAGCCCGGCCCCAATACCTTCTTGACTGTGCGCGGCGCCTCGGTGACTGTGCCGTCGGGGCTGACCAGGGCCTCGCCGCCGTCCCGGTGCCGCTGATGCTGGTGATGTGGGTCGCTCCGCTTCATGGCTGACGCCTGAGGCACCTTCCCGGCAGCAGGGCTGAGAGCGGCGGCGGGCCCCGAGCCCGGGCCAGGGGCCGGGGGCCGCTCCGCGGCTGGAGCCGGAACCTCAGGATCCCCGCCGCCTGCTGGAGGGGCCATGGCGCCCACTGACGCCGAGCTCAGTCCTAGTTGCGGCTCCGCCTCAGAGGGGCTCAAATCCTTCAGGTCCACTTCAGGCACCTTGGCGGCAGCCGCTGCTGACACAACCTGCACCGACATCACCGCCTCCGCTGCAACCGCCGGCTCAGGCTCCGGCTCGGGCTCCGGCTCCGGCTCGGCCCCGCCTCCGGCCTCCCTTCCCCTTCCCTCCCCCATTCCCCCACTCCTCCCCTCCATCGCCTCCGCTCCCACCCCCTTCCTCCGCCCGCCAGTCCGCCTGCCAGCCTCGGCCCCTCCAGCCCCTCCCAGCCCCGGTCCGGCTAGCGCGCGAGGCTCCACGGAACCTGTAGTGCGCTTGCTCCTGGCCGCACGCGGAGAAAAGACAGTGGGACCTCAGCCCCCGACCTACACTGCGCGTGGGGCGGAGCCGCGAGACCCTCTGGGAGATGTAGTCCCCTTGGCCTTCCTTCCAAAGTGAGGTTCTGCGGCGGAGAGGGAGCACCAGGGCCGACGACTAACGGAAAGGAGGATGGGTGACGCGACGGAGGGAATGAGGAAGGGAAAGCCTCTAGAGGACTTGGTGGCTTCCGGGGAGGGAAAGCCAGAAAGCCTAGAGAAAGCGAGGGAGGAATAACTCGCTCCCCTGACAGTGTAAATTTCCTCCGTGTGCGCGTCTGCAATCACGTGGCCTGGCCTTTAAAGGAAAAGCAGTGGCGTCACGTGAGGAGAGAGCCTGCCCCAAGCTTGAAGACTTGGATTTTTTCTCTTTGAAACTGGGAACTTAACACCTTTCTGAACTTAAGTAACTTGGTTTTTAAAAAGAATGAAATAGGTTTTTACCTGCTGTGGGGGTTTCCAACACATTCTGGTCTTGGAAGCCAGAATCAATTCCAAAAAAAATTAGTTTTCACTTGATTGAAATTTCACTGCTAAGGAATTAACACGGTGCCTTAAATGAGGTCTTGCCAAACAAGTGTTTTGGGTTTTTGTTGTTGTTTGGTACAGGGGATTGGGTGTTCCACCACTAAGCTACATCCCCAGCCCTCTTTATTTTTGATTTCAAGAAAGGTCTCTTTTAAGTTGCTGAAGGCCTCCCTAAGTTTGCCAGATCTTTTCACCTAGTAATTCTTCTAGGGCAATGTTCTGAAATTCTGATACATATGTAGCATAGCGCAATATTAACTAAAAACCCCAACAGTATTTCCCTAAGTCATGCAACTTTTGCAATTTTACACTGTTTTAGAGGGCGCAAGATCAAGGACTTGTATAGCAATTTATTTTTAATAACAAAAATTGTGCAGGGGATATAGCTCAGTTGGTAGAGAGCTTGCCTCACATGCCCAAGGCCCACAAAATATAAAAATAACAAATAGGTATTTGAAACTAATGTTCCCAACAATAAGGGGATGGTTTTAGCCTTTAAGAAGTGTTTTCCAGCCGGGCATGGTGGTATATTACTGTTCCAGTGATTCGGTAGGCTGAAGCAAGAGAATCCCAAGTTTAGGCCAGCCTCAGCAACTTGGCCAGCTTCAGCAACTTAGCGAGCCTGTGTCTCAAATTAAAAAAAAAAAAATGAAAAAGGTTTAGGGATGTAGCTTAGTGGTTAAGTAAAATCACTAATATCCTTGGAGCTTACAATATTGTATTAGTGAAAGAACATACTGTTTCAAGGAATGAACATTCAAAAAAAAAATGACGGCTTTAAAATGAAAACGTGCTGGCAGAATTTTTTAAACTCAAAAAAATATTAAAATTAAAAATATTAAAAGGAAAGATGCATTTTTGCTCAGATTGTTGAAGAGTGGTGGCTTATTTCATAATTTTTATTATTCATATATATATTTTGACTTGATAGATATAATACATTGAATAGCTAGTTTACTGAAAAAGGCAATCTTTTAGTACCAAAAAATGTGGGGGAGCGGGGGAATTGTTTTCAGGTGGGTGTAGAAGCATGCTTCTGTAGGCCCAGCTACTTAGGAGGTTGAGTCTAGAGGCCAGCCTGGGAAATAGACCCTCTGGCTCAAAAAAAAAGCTTTCCAATAAGATTTTTTTTTTAATGACAGGAGGAATAAATACCTATGATTAAAATAATATATTAAGCTAAAATGCAGGAGACAAAAATTGCAAATCCATTTGATTTTACGTAAATAAGGAAAAAAACTAAGAAAATACATTAAAATGCAATTGGCTGGACCGATTGTGAGGTAGGCTTTTCTCTGTTTTTAGAGAAATTAAGGTAAACGATATCTTAAGTTTTTTCAAAGGGTGACAGCTGTGACAACGCAGGTAGGCCACTGACCATCTAGTCATTGGAGTATCTATTTTTTCTTGGCAAGAAGGAGAAAAAGGGAGAAATCACCTCCCCTGATCTCCTTTTCTTACTACCAACTTGCAAGTCTGTTCGGTTGTAGTCCAGCATTAAATGGAAGCTTTCATTTCTTGGTCTCCAAATTTGTGTATTGGAAGACCCCTGAGCATAGCCATTTCTACAGGCCCAGGAATCCACCAGACACAAGAGCTTCTTAAGCTTTCTCTTCACATTTCTGGCTTTCAATATTTCCTTCCTGTTATAAAGAACCAGCCCAAAGCTTCATGCTCCAGCTGTCCAGGCAGAGATTAACAGCACTATAACTGATTTCTTTCTTCCCCCTAATGCACAAGGGAGCTTCAGTACAGCCACCTGGCATGCGTAGGAGTTCATAGGCAGCAGCTGCCTACCTGGATTGCCTCTAGAGTTAATTACTGAAGGAACAAATTAATTCTTCAGTGGGATGTGGTTATAAAACATAAAGAATTGCAGCACTGGAAAAGAGACAGATATTCTTCATTTATCAAGGTACCGCCACATTTCAGAACCAATGGTCAGGTGATGCTCTTTCCCCCATTTTCAGCTCCATCCTGCATACCTTCTACTTTTCTGACTGTTGCTGAAGGTGAAATTGCTATACTGGAAACAGGATGATTAAGAACAAACTTATAAAGTCTTTAATGAAATATTTAGGTTTCCTTCACCTGTCTCATTTGGTTTCCAGAACCCTGGCAGACAGGAATATGTCTTCTTTGCAGAGCACTGGAAGAATTTTTCTGGGATATCAGACCGTCCAGGAAAGAAAGGAAGACACACTGAGAGTTCCCCAAGGTGATAGGCCAGCCAGACCACCCATGGTGAAGATCTTGGCCAGATATATAGAGCTTCTGTGAACCATTTAATGTCACATTCCTGAGTATGAGCAGTCAAAGCCACCAGACATATGAAGAAAACCCTTACCATGAAAGAGACCAACATAGGCAAGCAGAACAAATAAATAACTTGAGAAAATGGGCTATATGTTAAGAAGAAAGCAAGATAAAGGGCTGCGGGGTGTAGCTTAATGGTAGAGTGCTTGCCTGGCTTATGCAAGGCTCTGGGTTCTATCCCTAGCATCATGCATACACAAAGGAAAGAAAGCAAGATTTAAACAAGAAAAATCACTAATATCCTTGGAGCTTACAATATTGTATTAGTGAAAGAACATACTGTTTCAAGGAATGAACATTCAAAAAACAAATGACAGCTTTAAAATGAAAACATGCTGGCAGAATTTTTTTAAACTCAAAAAAATATTAAAATTAAAAATATTAAAAGGAAAGATGCATTTTTGCTCAGACTGTTGAAGAGTGGTGGCTTATTTCATATTTTTTGTTATTCATATATACATTTTGACTTGATAGATATAATACATTGAATAGCTAGTTTACTGAAAAAGGCAATCTTTTAGGAATTGTTTTTCAGATCTTCAATAAATTTTTTTCTTCAAATTTCAAAAAATTGGAGGTATACTCATGGGTAGAGAGCTCTGAGAGCCTAGCATGCTCTCAAAGCCTTGGGTTTGATCACCAGTAACACAATACATAAATAAATGAAATTTTTTTAAGTGGTAAAGACAGTAAATTAGAATGCCAGTCCTAAAAATCCAATATCTAAATAATACAAGTGTCAGAAGAAAAAGGGAAAAATTCAAAACATTTCCTAGAAATGAAGATGGGAATTTCCAGAATAAAAGACAACATTAGGGGGCTGGGGTTGTGGCTCAGCAGTAGAGTGCTTACCTCCCACAAGTCAGAACCACATAAAAATAAATAAACAAAATAAAAGGTATTGTGTCCATCTACAACTAAAAAGTGTATATATTTTAAAAAGACCCCATTAGATGCCCAACCCAATGGATGGATATAGACCTGCCCAGAAACTTCTTAGAGATTGAGGATCGGAGGTGTGAGGCCAGCCTGCGCAACTTAGGGAGACCCTGTCCCAAAATAAAAAGAGCTGGGGATGTAGCTTAGAGGTAGAGTGCCCCATGGGTTCAATCTCTAGTACCGGGGAAAAATTATTTTAATATGCATCATTGTACAATTTCAAAATTCTGGGAAGATCTTTCAAAAATCTGGAATGAACCAGGGACTAAAATTTTTTAAAAGAGTCAGAAAGATTGAACTTCTTCAAGTTAATTCTGGAGGCTATAAGATTATAACTCCAAATACTGCAGACCCTATGTTTGCCTTCTCCAGAGAATAAAGGTTTCAATCATCCAAAGTTGGCAAGGATAGTCATCTAACTGTGTGGCTGAGTACAGGATCAATCCTGCTTCAATCCTGCTTTAGTCTCTACCTTATCAAGTACCAGCTGCCTCCAATACAGAGCCTTCTGGGGATTCTGCAATAGAAGCTTCCCCCCTGCTATTAGCTAAAACAAAGGATTTGTTTGTTTGGGGCAGTACTGGGGATTCAACCGGGGGCTGGGACATGGAAGGAATAGGGCAGTCCATTACTGAGCTATATTCCCCAGCCGTTTTTTAATTTTATTTATTTATTAGACATAATATCATTAAATTGCTAAGTCTGGCCTCAAACTTGTGATCCTCCTGCCACAACCTCCCAACTAGCTGGGATTTTAGGCATGCACCACTGTGTCTGGCAAACTTTAGCTTTTTCAAGTCTGCTAAATGAGCACTCATTTGCTATCCAGTTTTCAAAACTATTACTACTAGCTCCTCCCCTAACCTCCACCTCTCTTTTTCCCCCTTATAGGCAAAGAGGGAGAAAAGGCTAAATCCTTAACTCTATATGAGGAAATCAAACGATAATGCCTAAAACACCCAAGAGGTAGCATTATAATCATGTTATTCAGACAGAAATGAGCACCATAAGGATCATCTAAAATAAAGTAATTGGCTCCCAGGACAAGAAATAATGAGGTAGATGGTAGGATGGAATAACAAGACAGGTGTTTTAAGTAACAACACTTGTGAAACAGGGCTGGGGGCATAACTCAGTGATAAAGCTCCCCTGGGTTCAAACCCCAAAATGGGATGGGGGGAAGAAGCTTGTACAACTATTTTACCTTTTTTAAAATATTTAGTTTTGGGGCTGGGGATGTGGCTCAAGCGGTAGCGCGCTCGCCTGGCATGCGTGCGACCCGGGTTCGATCCTCAGCACCACATACCAACAAAGATGTTGTGTCCGCCGAGAACTAAAAAATAAATATTAAAAATTCTCTCTCTCTCTCTCTCTCTTCTCTCTCACTCTATCTTTAAAAAAAAAATATTTAGTTTTTAGTTGTAGTTGGACCCAATACCTTTATTTTGTTTGTTTATTTACCCTCCTGCTGAGGATCCAACCCAGGGCCTCACATGTGCTAGGTGAGCTCGCTCTACAGCTGAGCCACAACCCCAGCCCCACCTATTTGACTTTTCAAAGTATATCATGTGTAATTTAGATTAAATTAAAATCTTGATAGGAAAGACAGCAGAATACAACAGACATGAGTATGGCAATATGTAAATCAATGGAAGTGTAACTGATGTGATTCTGCAATCTATACAGGGTAAAAATGGGGGTTCATAACCCACTTGAATCAAAGTGTGAAATATGATATATCAAGAACTATGTAATGTTTTGAACAACCAACAATAAAAAAAAGAAAAAGAAATAAAATAAAATCTTGGTGTGGTGGAATACACCTGTAATCCCAGTGACTCAAGAGGCTAAGGCAGAAGGGTCACAAGTTTGAGTTCAGCCTCAGCAATTTAGCAAAACTCTGTTTCAAAATAAAAAGGTCTGGGGATGTAACTCAGTAGTAGAGCATCTCTGGGTTCAATCCCCAGCACCCCATACATACACAGGAAAAAAAAGCAATATGTAAATTGTTTATAGGTACATAGCTTCATATACATATAAGAAAGTATAAAAATGGATTAGAAGGAAGCCCAAGAAACACAAAGTTGTTTTCCTTTCAAGAAGTGGGAAAGTGGGCAGTTGTTGGGGATGGTTAAAAGGGAGTTTACCAATTCTGTTACACTTTGCTTGCTAGGACTATGGGCAGACTTCAGTACTTGGGGGACTGGACACCCTGCTTTGAGAAAGTAGCAAAGCCCAAGGGAGCGGCTGAGGGCAGTCTCCAAAAGGTGAATCTCAGGGCTGCAGCAACAGAATCCCCAAATCAGGCTCTTTTTAGATCCTGTGGTGTTTCTTCAAGAATCTAATTATAATTCTGGAGTTTGGTTAAAGGGTGGCACTATGGCTTGGTTCTGCGATCTGATGCTCCTATCTTCTTGGTTATGAGGTTTTCATGGTCTTGAACATCCAGCCGCAGCCCATTGCCTGCATTCATAAAAGGTGGGATCGCACTGACCCCTCGTGGTCATAGTCTGCCTTTGCAGCCACACTGAGGTAACATTTCTCAGCTTTTTAAGACCCAGATTGAACTCCATCCCCCATCTTTTACCCAAGTAATCCTCCTAAAGAAAGGACAGAGGCACGGAAACAAGTAGTTGAATGTTCATGGAGACAAAAAGAAGAAATATAATACTGTTGTGGATAAAGGCTAAAAAATAGCTATAATACTGTTGAGAGAAACAGTAGCAGCAAGAATGAACAAGATGAGCAAGCTCAAGGCTGTGTGGGGTAGCTAGGAAGAACACAAAATGGGAAATCTGAGTAGGAATAAAGATCAAAGGTCTGAACTGAGAGTGAAAAGAGCCTGGACTTCAGGATCAGGAAGACCCTGGGGTCTTACTAGCTACTAGGTTGTATGCATGTTATTTTCTTTCACTGAGCTTTTTTCTTCATAAAACTAGCTCTTCAGATTGGATCATTACCATGGTCGCTAAGAGCTACTGGAGCCAGAGGACTCTGCTTGGATCCCAGCATTACTAATTACTGGCTAGGCGCCTTTCCAAGAAACTTATAAGCATTATCTCACTGAATCTCCAAAGAGCTCCTAGCCAGCATTCAGTAAGAGTTAGCTATTATTGGTATAATGAACACATATAAAGTACCTAGGATGGAGCTGGGCACTGTGAGACACCCCTGTAATCCCAGCTACTCAGGCTGAAGCAGATCACATATTCAAGGCCAGCCTGGGCATTTGGCAAGACTCTGCCTCAAAATAAAAATAAAAACAGTTGGGATATAGATAGCTCAGTGGTAGAGCATCCCTGATGCTCTCTAGTCCTGCAAAAAATTAAATACCTAGGGTAAAATCAGTATGTTGGTAGTACCCTTTCCTCCCCCACTGGAATCTGATTCTGGTCAAAACACAAGTCCCTATCACATGAGCAGCAGTTAGGAAAGGGTACTCCATAAAATACACTCCACAATATCCTTCCAAGTCTGTAGATTCTCTACAGATCTCCCTAACACAATCCTTGTAACTCAGTTGAGTCTTCTATTGACATTATTTGGAGGAAGTGAGACTAATGGGCTTCCATGACTTTGACCCAGGGAGGCATCTTGGATTAGAATGCACTGGCAAAACTGACATCCCCTGGCAGATGGCATGAGGTTCTGAGGTAGACCCCAGGAGATGCTTGCTTCCTATCTTCATTCTAGGGCTGAGTGGCATGCTTGTGCTCGATTATCTTATGCTTAGTACTCAATGAACTGGCTGTGGACATCAAGGAGCTTTTGTTCATAGAGAATAAATTAGCCAGGGAGGACACATTAAACTGACATAGCTCAACCTCTGGCTGTCAGTCTTGACCTCATCAGCCCCAAGCTCTTGGCCTTTCAGAAGAGCCTTAGGAGGAACGCAGAAGACAAGTGATCAGGACTGGGTAAATAGGACAAAACTAGGGCTACGGAAAATAAACACACTGGAGTTTATACAAAAACATTTTATTTATTTTTCATGTTTCTTCTTCACATCTCTATCCCCCAACCTAAAACCCAGCCAACTTCTAAGGTTTCCAGCTACTGGGTCTTGAATATGGGGTGCTGGGGACATGGTTGGAGGTTATGAAAGATGGGAATCTTCTACCCCAGCAGTTGTGGAAATTGAAAGAAGCTTTCCTGGCTGGCTGAAGGCAGCTTCCCAGGATAGCCCCTCAAGTCAAAGGATCCATCCCCACTGGATGGTCACGAAGAAGACATAACATGTCTCTCAGGGGCCCAGAGGCTCCAAGTCACTCCTTACCAGGCCAAGGCTCTACAGCTGGATCAATCTCTCACCAAGAGATAGAGCTCAGTGTGTGTGTGTGTGTGTGTGTGTGTGTGTGTGTGTGTGTGTGTG